AGGCTATACATGCATATGATAACACCACTTTATGGTGTTCCAAAAATAATTTTATAGTATGGAAAAGTTTCTTCAATACGCTCGATTTAATTCAGGTTATATGAGCCATTTTGCTTCGTTACTCTCCATTATTCTTCCACTTTCTCGATCCTGTTCCTTTCTTTTTTCAGTCTTTTAAGTATTTCAAGGTGTATGCTTTATGTATACATAAAGTAACTGATCGAAAATGATGAAAAATATAAGATTTAAAGCAATGTCCACAATATATTTCTTGTAAGTTAATCATTTGTGTCACATCGTGGCGTCCATCTTTAAATACTCATCTTGAAACGAATAAACTTAAACATATTAAACAAAAACTAAGTTCACATTCAATAATGTGTCTAACATAAATCAAACGAACAATAGATCAGAGTCAATTAACCTCAACGACTACATTACTGATCAGTATAATATGATTTAAAGCGATTATCTCGTATTATAATTAGACTGTTGATATTTATGCAAATATCCATTTCCATGAGCTATTATACAGAAACCAGAGGCATGGAGAAATTACATTCTGGGTTTATTCAATCGAAAGTATATAAAAAATTCGTTTACTTTTTGTTAAAAGCCTGATTTTATCGTACCTTTTAATCTTGTTTAAAAAATGCATAAACATCCGTGGTCCAATTATAATTGTGAAATTTTTCCCTGTAAATAATATCTTAACAATGTGTTCTCTAGCCAAAACGTTCGCTGGCATAAAGGCGATCGTGACCGGATGGGGCGCGCTCGAAGAATCTGGGGCCATTTCGGAAACTCTACAGGAAGTCTCGGTGCCCATTCTCACGAACACCGAGTGCCGTGCGTCGAAATATCCATCCCGACGAATCACGGACAACATGCTATGCGCCGGATACAAAGAGGGAAGCAAGGATTCATGTCAGGTAATCAACAACGAAAATTTCTTTTTTAGTATTAATTGTCATTATTAACACTATCGTTTGGTATTCACAGAACTTCCATAATTAATTGTAACGTTATTGTAGATTATATATACCACAAATACATACGCGTACTGTTTTGTACATAGGCTTGTTTCTCAACGATTAAGCGACGTTCAAAAAATTTAATCTAAATTTATAACATTTTTGGTTCGATTAGGGAGACAGCGGTGGTCCTTTACACGTGATCAATGGCAACACGTACAATATAGTTGGTAAGATATACATTTTATTCTATTGACTGGTCGTTAACCTTTAAATAATCGTTAACCCTTTCGCTATGTAGGTTATTCGTCTAAAAATGGCCATTTTACACGAGTCAGAATTAGTCTACTGAGTTGTTCGTATTTTATATTATTGAAACTCTGAACTTCTTTGGTTCTCGTTGGTTTTACAATTTCAGTGACTAAATGGTCCGAACAAAATTAAATTATTATTGTACCCAACCCAGAAAGGATCATTTTCTTCGAAAGATTTTAATCTACACGAGAATTATTAATTCTAGACGAAGTTTGTTAATAGTATTCAGATCCATAAAATTTAATCCGCTTTCCCTTGAAAAAACCAACTATGTATATTTATGTACTAAAGCGTCCTATATAGTAGTTAATCTCCCGTCATAAATACAAGTTGCTCCAGGATAAGCGAGTACACAGTAAGATCCGGATTAGCGTGACTAAATTGGGACCGCCGAGGAGACTTAAACCAGGAAACGTACTTTTCTTATCTAGAAATTATAATACCTCAACGCTCTGTCCTCTGTTAGGTTGGGATGCGAGCAACGCTCCCCACGAGAAGTGAGCAAAAAAACCAGAAATGGACAGATTTGAACATTTCGCAGAAATTCTTGTATCTGTCCAAACTTCTCGAAAAATTCCTACCACTAATCCGAATTTTACGCTAGTCCTTTTTACTTCCGAAACAATAGTAAATATTGCTTTTAATAACGAAATAGCTAAGAATTTATATTTTGTTATTGGGCAGATTCGAATGCTTCGAACAAATCTTTACACATGTCCCAACTTCTCGAAGAAATCCTTCCACTGATCCGAACTTTACCTTTTCCTTTTTAATTTCACGAAATGGTAACTTTTATTATGTTTAATAACGAAACAGCTAACAATACATATTTTGATATAACACCTGTCCAAACTCCTCGGAAGAAATCCTTCCACTGATTTGAACTTTACCTTCTTCTTTTTAATTCCAAGAAATGGTAATTATTATTGCTTTTAATAGCGAAAGGGCTAACGATAAATAACTTGTTACTGGACAATAATAATGATCGTACACAGGAGTGGTGTCCTGGGGCGAAGGATGCGCGAAACCCGGCTATCCAGGTGTGTACAGCCGGGTGAACCGTTATCTGACATGGATCAAGCGCAACACCGAGGACGCCTGTTACTGTTGATTCAATTCAAATCAGGGTGATGAACAACTTTCATCACTGACATAATACTCATCCGTCCTCACGCTGCGAGGACACACGGTGACTCTACATACCGCCGCTATTTTAGAGATTATCAAAATTGAGAATACTCAAACACTGTTAAACAAACACACTCAGTATTTCACAATCGAACATCGATTAACACCTCATTGAGAGATAGCCTATCAACAGGCCATCTTTGATTTCGATGATTATCGATAAAACATCTATTAATCGATCGTTAACCTTTGTAGGTATAGGCAACCAAAATATTCACGGTTATTGAGCAAGATTAGATAAACATAGATAATTTTACTTTCATACTTTTCCGAAACTCTTAATTTTTCCTTCCTATAATATACCAAATGCTGTTTTATACAAAACCATAAAAAATTGTGAAAGGAAATTTAGAAATGGGTACCTGGGTACCCGGTTGCCTGGACAAGGGTTAAACCAGGATTAAAGAAGAAATGTTATCTGTCTGAAGTTATCTGTCACAATTACAACTTTCTACTGTAATCGAACTATTTAGTCCGTAGTAGTTTGCCTGTTGATCTTTGGGTCTATCCATCGGTAAGGTGTTAAGGTGTTTCCTTAGTTAAATTTTTTCCATTGATTTAGATGACCGTGAAATGGCGGAGCCTGACGCGAGAATCGCCGCGTATTTAATTTAATAACTTCGTCTTATTTATTTATTCACTACGCTTAGGTTAGAGGAATCTCGAGAACGATTTCGTTTGTACTCGTGTTTTTTTGGGGGGGTTGGGGGGTAAGGGGAATTTTCAACGCGTGTCGACGCGACACGTTTGCTCGCGCGAGGAAACAATTGGAAGTTAAGGCACGTACTTCGAGACCGGGGCTCGTAACATTGAACGCGTGAAAAAGAAAGTCCCACGGGGACTTTCTCTGTTTGCTTCCACATGGAATTTCGGTGAAAACTCACGTACTTGGCGTGACACACGCGCCTGGCTCTGACCGGGCCAATCGTTTCGCCCGTGTTCCTGGGTGTCGTTTATATTGCGGACACCGTAATAAGGTGTCGTTTAATTGCAAATGAAAATTTGTTTTTTGTAAATCGTCTAGATCATAGCTTCTCAAAGTGGACGCCGAGGAGATTTGAAGGGGCGTTCTAGTTATTTTATTTTCTTTATAACTTTTTAACATTCAAAGATTACACACACAATTACATTTGGAAATTCCGATAATAGAGAGGAAGCTATGGTCTAGATCGATATTAAGAGACCGTGAATATTTAATTTCATTGAACAATACTCAATTTGTTGACTAATATCAATTTCATACACTGTTTTAATATTTCGGATGAAACTCTAGATAAGTTACATTCGTGAGATCGTGAACATGTAATTTTAATTATGAAAATGTAATAATAATTGTGGCAACGATAACGCTGTTTATTATGTTACAAGAAAGACAACATACAGGAAATACACTTAGAAAATAAAAGGGAGGTTACGAAAATAAATAGGAAACAGTACCACAAAAAAGGGCGCAGAGTATTGTTAGCAATGCCCGGTGCCGTTTTAAATATTACTTTATCTACCTGTAAAATAAATAGAAACTCGGAGGAAGACAGTACGAAAATAGAGGAAGGTGAAAAATGGAAGGAATAAATAAAAGAGATTATCCACTACAATCTAGCTTTTAACATTAAGGACAGAGTGCTCGAGTTTCTGTTAATCGATCTGTCATTGTATTCGACATTGAACTGTCACTTTTTAAATAAATTATTATAAGCTACGAACAAAAGACGTTGAAACAATTATTCGAGAAGCGTGATATCGTTGCTCTAGTTCTTAATTGTTCTACCTCCACTAGTTTCTAAACTGAGAAAATTGAGTTAAAGTTTACAAAGTTAATATTATAGAAGCATTAAAGTAATGAAATAATCAAACACACTATAATATAATCTACTGACTAGCTATTTATTAAAATGTTCAACAAAATTTTATCTTATTATCAACATAAATTTAGTATTTGGAGATACAATCATTAAACAGAAAACTTTTAATAGTTACAGAATTAGGACTAGAAAGAATATTTGTTGTTTTCTAGGTTGAATTTTCTTTATATTATGGTTTATTTCTATTCTTTAGATCAAAGATACGCACGTAGATTGATTACTCAAATTTTTTTTGAAGAATGGAGTTAGACCAGTTAAGAACTCGGGCGACGATATGTCTAGAACGTGATTTCGTCAGAAAATATGAGATTCTGGGCGACCTTACCTATCAGTGTCGCTAACAAGTGCGTCCACTTAACATGGGGAACTGATCTTGACTCCGTTTAATCTTGAAAGTTGAAGTTTAATCTTGTGTTAATGTTGCGAAATTATTACCGACCCGTTTTCTGAATGTCAACATTGGCCAGTTAGATGTCAGTGACTAGGAGTCCTTCGGGCCGAGTCACTTCTTCGACCGTCAATCGAACGTTCGTTTCTGCTTTGTCGAACAACCAATACGTCTCCATGTTGCCCTTACCCTGCGGTTTAACAATAAATTTAATTGCGTACACGCCGTTTCGCGGCCAAGGACCAAATGAATCGGACTCGTTGCGATACGAACCTTGACCCAAACTAATCCACGCGACTCGATCCGATAGCGATCTTCCGGTAACAGCGCTTTGGTGTCTCTCGAGACGTGCACATTACCCGGCTGTGTCATGAAATTTATTAACACAATACGAATTTAATGGAATACAACAGATAGGCCAGAAGACATTAAATAGAATCGGAATATTGTCGAATTTTTATGGACATCTACAGTAAATCATTATTATTCAGTAAACAGTAACATATTTCATAAAGTAATGGCGATATGAGGCTGAAAGAAATTTTACTGGCTTTAGAATTCCAAGCTCTATCACTGTGTTAAACCTCATTAAAAAGTTAACGTTAGATCTGGGAAGCTTTCCTTGTTAGTCCCGAGGAGCCTTCAAACACTTATCGATGATTTACTGTACGTGTAAATTATTTTCGTGAAAAATCTTATGAAAACCAAATCTTTTTTTTTATGGTCATTAGCAACTCTTTGGATTAGGTTATATGTATTTGTTTGTATAGTGTAGTGTCCTTTAGGAGTTTTATGATGTTTTCTATGTGGTTTTGTGACGTTAGGATTTAGGGGAGTTTAGTTGTATTTCGCTATTTAGTTTTGGTACTTCTCACACGTGAACAAGCGGTGGTTGATTGTCAGCGCTTGGTTGCATAGATTGCAAACGGGTGGTTCCAAAACAGAAATCTTATGTGCCCAGTTTTATAATACTATTGGTATGTCTAAAATATTTACTATTTTATTTCTACAAAATTCAACGTAATTAAAGAAACTTTTGGTAACTAATGAGCTTCGAACTTTTAGATTAGCGAATTTTTGTGTCTAATTATTTAAAATTATTATTTGTATTATTTTCTACAATATAAATATTGCTAAGTAGGTTTTCCTTTCATTTCTAATCTCCGATACTAATTTTCCTTATAAGTTAGCGATGCGTTATAACTTTCGTCACGTTCTATGATCTAGCTCTCTCTTGCTTTTATGTATTTTTGTCAGTCGAAATTTACATTGCATAAGTGAACTTACCAGACTGGTGGTCTGCATTCTCGACGCAGTGTTCACAGTGTCCCCGAAGAAGCAATATCTGGGCACTTTGATACCGACAACACCTGCCACAGCTGGTCCAGAATGAATTCCTAAGAAAGTGGAACACGTTTGTACGCGACTGTGCTCGTTCACTAGACAATCTTTCATATTTATCACGTCTAACGCCGAACCATTCGCGATCCTGTGTCGAAATGGTCGTCGTCGGAACATATTTCGTTCCAGTTTTCACACATTGACAGTACATTTAAATACAATTATAAAGTATGGAAAATTGCTGTAGGGTATGTTTTCAAGCCAATATGAAAATATTTCAGAGGAAATATTATATATGAAAATGTGGAAAATCCTAATCCTTGTGAACTGTTCAATAAATTATTATATTTCTGTTGCTTGAATTAAACTTGGTGTGAGCTAATATCGAATTAAGATGTACATGGTGTCGCACTTAAGGAGAGCATCTTCAATATTGTTAATTTCACTTGTTTTTGAAAATACAAAAGAATGCGAGGAGAAAGTATTATTCGGTTAGAAGAGCAAATACTGTGATAAGCAAATATTTTTCTCAACGTGAATATTTTCCGAAATTTCAAGGTCATCGATATTTTTTTCAATGGGACTACATATTTTTATCAGCGTGACGTAATAGTTAAAATCGAGACTAGTCCAATCACCTATACATATATAGTGTGACCTTCATGTGACCTTGAGTACGAAAAATCCAAAAATGTATGAGAGTAGATTTAAATAATATAAAAACTACGATGAGGGATTAGTGCAAAAATGTATCAAAGTTGATGAACATCACTTTGAGCATTAAAAAATAAATTTTCTGCAAATCAAAAGCAAGTGATACTGAAGGTGCCCACTTTAGGTGGGGACACTCTGTATATGTAAATTACTGGTGCCAGATTGATTTACAAATTTCTTTGATAAGAAGTATAATTGAAAATTAAAGTTTGAGGTTGGTGCAAATTGACCAGTACACGACGGTTAAAGTAATTATGCGAAGAATTACCTATTCGAATTTGTATGTCTAGACCAGAAGGCAATTTAAGGGACTGAACATGCTTCAGCAATTGCAACGACACGTCTGCGACGTTTTGCGCATGACTTTCGGTCCTATCCGGTGCACCACTCGCCGCCATGTAAACTCGACCAACAGTTTCTACCTGTTGAAATTCGTAAACGTGAAATGATAGGGTATCGAATATTAGTTATTTTTATTTTCTCTTATTACACGCGGACTCACTTTGTACACGTTAAATTGGTCCATCAAGGAGTCGAAACACGAGAAAACTGCGTTCATCGACGAGACGATGTCCATTGCATCCTCGATGGTTGAGTAATTGAAGTCGCAGAGCTCGCAGAATAAGACGGTTATTGATTCGAATGACTATGAAAAAGATGGAACATACAGAAACTTGTTTTCCAATAATTACCAATATCACTAACATAAAAGTTTATTACAAGTAAGTATAAGTGAAATATCTGTAGACCCACAAAATTAGACTGTCACATAGGAAGTTTAACATTACAGTACTTTCACTGGACCATCGATGTGTATGATCAAAATAAAGTTGTTGTTTCATGTCTTATAATAATAATAATAATACTAATAATAATGATTTATTAACGGGATAAATACCCTTTAGTACAGAGTTATTACAATAAGGGAAGGACGTACATAAAAATGGAAATAAATGATATAGTTAAAATTAATTATTGATAATGCGAAGAAACGAATTCTTTAATGCTGGCGGAGAACGATTAAACATGTTGACAGAGTTACAGAATTCGTTGGCCAATCTCAGAGCACGGTCGAAACAACCAAGTTGGCCATATTGAGTACGATGAGTTTTGATATAAAATAGGTTGTGATGACGAGAGCTTCGAGATGTTAGAAATAAGAAATGTCTTTATCGATACTTACCTCACAGGTACTCAAAGGGCTCGCGCCAGCTCGTAATCGGTCGGCGACCGTTTGGGGGATCATGGAGTACAAAAGCTCGTCGCTTTTGTTTTTCCAACGATCAAGAAGCGCGTAGCTGTTCTCCAGTTCGGTAGATCTCTGTTCCGCCCTCTCGAACATCATTTCCAATCTGGAACGAATGGTCCGAAAGGAGAACGGTGAGATAAGAAGTGTTTCGTGGAGACAAATTATATTACAGCTCGTTTAATTTTATTAAAAATTAAAAACGGTCGCGAGATTGTACCTTCCACAGTGTTGCCATCCGGCGAGAACCAATTCTCGACTCAGGCCATGGGGATTTAGATCGTTCAGGTACAGGCCCATGTTAAGCAGTTCATCTAAACTGTTGATTCTGTTGAATCGTGTTTTATATCATTCATTTTTATATAAACATCGGCAGTCATCATTTGTACAGGATGGACCACGAAACGTGATAAGCTTAGATTATTCTACTGCTAGTTGTTAGATCAAGACTTTTCTGGCTACGATTCAAGGAGAGTTTTAAGGTGATTGTACCAAATTTTTTGTCAACCTTTTTTTTCAGTTTTTCATAGATAAACCTATATTTTTTTTACGCTCTTTCTGTTAGCAGATACTGAGACAAATTCGGCAATCATTATAACAAATAATTTTTTTTCTTCTAAACCAAAGAAATATTAAGAAAATAACATTTACTTTAATTAAAACGATGTTCAAAATTACGTCCATTAGCTGCAATACACTCGCGTAATCGGTTAAGAAACGGCTGCTTAGTTCCATTTGTGACGTCTGCACTGATGGTTAAGCGTGCAAAAAATGTTTCGATCGAATAGTTAGCAATAGAATAATCTAAGGTGATCAGGTTTCGTGGTTCACCCTGTATTATTAGAATGTCTCGAGAAATATTGCGTAGTTTTCAGTCATTTTTTTTCCTATTAAGTCTTTCAGTGCATATATCTGTAGCCTTAAGTCTCACTGCAAGTCTGTGGCCTGAATTGCCATTTTGTTTATTGACCTTATGATTTAACAAACTAATCATTTTCAACGCAACAATATTTTTCTAAGGCACCGTGTATATTTCAAATGTACTTGTTTTTCTACTTACAAGGGGCTACACAGGAAAATTATTGCCTTAATGTCATCGATGTACCTCATCTGACCTTTCAGCAGAATACTTCTAGCTCCCTGGCTCCCTCGTCTATCTAATCCCGAGCTTGTACTCGCGTTATTGTCTGAGCTCGATGATGCATTGTTATCGTTCGAACGGATCAGCTCTAGTTCAAACATCACCGAATGCAAGTACATTACCTGCACAGGAGTATGCAAATTATTACTCCGACGGGGGCTTTCATGAATACATCGATTGAGTAGATCATTAATTTATCGTGATGCTAGTTATAATTCAATTAACCGCGAGGATAATGTAAAATTAACGTCAGCATGATACGAACAATGAATATCGATATATTCAGAAAAGTAGGTACACAATCATTAATTTATCGAATCTAATTATCTTACTTGTAGCTGTAATGAAAAAATGAAACGTATTTTGTTACGTGTTTTTTTTTTAAATCGAAAATAATTGAGTATACAATATTTCACAGATTCCAATGTTTAATATTGCAAGAGAGAATATGAACATTATACAGATTGTCGTGTAATTACTCGTTTGAACCGGGTATGTGGTGATTCTACGTGAAAAAATAAATCGAAAATACAAAATAACATTTTTCTATTTAAGGCTTCGTTTTCGAGAAAATCGACTTTGAATATTAATCTGAAACGACTGTACTCGTTATGGTAGTAAGTAGAAACGGAATACAATGAACAGACGCGCTAGCCAAGTCCGATCATGTACAGGAGATCCTCAAAATCGATTTTCTCGAAAACAAAGTCTGGAACAAAAAAATGTTATTCTATATTTTTGACTTATTTTTTCACGTAGAATCACCCCTATCCATTTGTACCACTAATTTTCAAAACATTTTCTCGACTTTTTGGAAATTTTTACGAATACAAATAAAGTGATTTCGTGAAGAAATAGCGGATTACTTATTGATAGACCTAACAGAATGATTTGTTTTAAAATATTGAAGTAATTGACCATAACAACGGTAATTTTTTTGTATAAGATTCTGTGAAAACCTTTGCGATGTTTGATAATAATGTAAGAAAAATCGTGAAGTGCCAATGATTGAAGCAGAATAAGCTCCTGCTTATTTCGTGAACATTGATTAACGTGTACCAAAATCTGTGTGAAATAGTGAATTTTCCGTGTCTTTTATGAAACGTTCCCTTACATTTCCCCACGTGAAGGAAATCCCTTTAGGCCTGCGTAATTTAAAGACTTCCGTGATGTGCTTGTTCAGGATGGACGAGCTGCCGCCCCATGCTTGTAGCATCTTTTCACCGACTCCCAGTATTCGCATATCCTTGTTTATCACAACCCCGAACGGGAAAAGCCGCAACAGAAAGGTACACGAAACTGGTGCTAATTCTCGACCCAGAGGAGTTTTCATTCTGTTGGTTTTCGCGATCTAAAAATTTCGAATGTATCTTGCAATGATTATTTCTAATGAAATAGGAATTTCCAATGAAATAGAAATAAGAATTTATATTCACTTTCCTACATCTTGTAGAAAATAATAGTAGAATATTTTTCAATGGTAGTACAGTTAATCGATATCGTTAATTGTTCATTTTCTTTCGATGGTTTCGCTATAATAGTGTCTGTATGACTACTTACGTATTCATGATTGTCAAAATCAATTCGGAATTTAACCATCACACTCCTAGAGCCTGGGATATTGTTTGAACTCTCTAATACTCTAATGTTCAAATCGATTTTGTAAAGTTCTTTCGCTATTTGAAACAGTTGACCTGTCGAAGAATTTATTGTACGATCAGTTTTGCGTGGTCGAGAATGTTTATTAATTGAAAGAATACGAAATTTTGTGTATTTATTGTTATATTATAAAAGATGTTAAAATTACGAAATATTAATATTATGTAGTATGAAATTTGTATACGAAACGTTTCTTACCCATGAAATAATGTGTAAAACCTTTCCTAGTGCTTCGATATACTAATACCACGCCTTCCGTGTCGACGTGTGTCGTGTACATCGAAGGACTTTTCATTTTTGGGTACGTGAATCTCATTTGCATGTGAATATTGTCGACACTTTGCAGAAAGTCGCAGAAATAACGGCCAGTGGCCTTTACTGTACAGTCGTACCTACAAGAACGGAAATAATTCTGCATGTTTCAACGAAAAAGCTTTAATTTCCGTTTCTAATTTCCGTTTCTAATTGTATGCCTCGAAAAGTATGCACACGTTTGTGAGTTTACAAATTATTTCGAAAGATTCGTTATTAACATTTTGAATTCTATGTGAAGTTTTAACAGAATATTTTAAGAATGAAATGTTTAAGAATAGAATACTCTAAGAAACAAATATACTTCAGAATAGAATATTTTAAGAATTAAATATTTAAAAATAAAATATTTAAGAATGAAATATTTAAGAATAGAATATTTTAAGAATGAAATATTTAAGAATGAACTATTGAAGAATAGAATATTTTAAGAATAAAGTATTCCCTTACAGAAGTACAAAACTACAAAATTTTAATAGTATTTAACTCATCACATTCTCAACTATTTTATAATTTATCTTCAAATTTTACTAATAGATTCATTTTCTATAAACCAGATTGAGTAACGAAGCTTTTGTTTTTTACGCTAAAGAAATGTAATAAAATGTGAAAAATTATTGCGAATAATTTTATTATTGTAAAAAAGATTCAGTTGATTTCCTAAAGTTGTTACGAATTAATGAATCGCACGGACCCTGCTTAGCACTTTACGCTCGGATAATTGTCTCCCTCGAGGCAGTGGAAACTGATAAGATCGGATTACACCTGATCCTTATCGCTCCGCCTACACCAAGCACTAAGTAATTGAGATAATCGAACAAATCGGGTATAACAATCTGTCACACGCGAGGGAAATGAAAACGGGCCGTCACATTTAATCGTAACAATATGCATTGCTCGATAACCGAACAACTAGATAGAATATTTTAAGCGAATCTAGTGCAGTTAATAATTAATTAAAACGTTTAATATAACCATCGTCAATACTCTGTAAATAGTAATAATTAAACGATTTAATTAACAATTCAGAATGCACTCCCGTTCCACGAATTACGTTGAGTCATGTGTCCTCACGTATTCGAGAATGAAGAAATATTTTGCTCTCGTTTTTGCTACTTATTATTAGGTTGTTGCACATGAAATGATCGTGTTATTACGGGTACTTAATATTATATTCAACATTATATGAACTATATTAGACAAAATGTACATATATAATGTACAAATGTACATATATGACAGATTAAGTTAATTAATGTTGAAAAAAGATCAATATTAATGTTACATTTCTTACATATTTATTGTACTGAAGATAACTCATTAAATACACTTTTAACATCTTTATGGAGTTTATTCATGAATTTGGCATAAATTTCCATTTTTTAATGTACATTGAGGAAAGTCTTAATGGAACCTTAATTAACTTTAGTGTTTACCATAATTTATTTTATTATTATGTTAGATAGTACCTTGAAATGAGTAAAGTACACTGTAATTTTGCAATAAAGAAAGGACCTACGTCAATAATATTCATTTACAAAAGTAATATCAAATATACCTATCACGAGATCTCCCATTTCATCTGCAACGATCTAATATCATAAGATTCATTTAGACACTTTAATTAGTTCAGGTTATTAAAATTTAAGGTTATTAAGTTAACAGAGAGGTTTCAATGGCCAAGGGTGACTTACCCTAAGTTGCTAAAAAATCGAGCGAAACATCTCCCGAAGAATTCCATCACATTGTCCACCGAGTCACCGTTGACCGTGGCCAATGCAGCAGCCAAATTGGTCATAAGTTCGTCAGGGTATATTTGTCTGGTGTTGAAAACCATATGCCTGCAATCAGCTTTCTCTAGAAGCTGAACCCAAACGTCTTCGCCATACTCTAACTGCAAAGAGAAGTGTACTTTCAAGAGGAGAACCAAACCAAAATATATCATTCAGTTTTATTTATCTCGATTTTGCGAAATTTCGTAAACCAAAAGAGTAGTAAAGTTCGGGTTCATATGAACACGCAGACGTTATACGAGTAATATTGCGTTGCTCTGAAGAAGGCACTTTGAGGGGTGGATATAGCTACATTAAGGGAAGCAATCGAATCTACGTACTCATAAATCTTTTCTATAGGTATCATCTTCTCGTAGCGTGTATTTTTTACCTTCTACCAAATAGAGTTGATAAATATGTAGCAACGGGGAGATAGGTATACATAAAATGTCGTAAAATAAGTGCAAACTGAGAAATTCAATTTCGAAGTTGCAGAAGGCTCTTTGTACATTTATGAAGATACATAGTGTACTGAAGGTTTTTTCAATCATAGTTATGGAAAGTTCCTTTCTAATCAAATAGAATAATGAAAATTCAAATTTTATTTTGTCAATATAAAGTGTAAACAGTGACATTAGGTGCGGAATAAAATGGTCCCCGCAGTTTTTCGCAATCCCTATTGGAAGATTCCTTATAATTGGTATTAAATTTTCATATTTGTGCTTGGAGAAAAATTTAATGTTTTTATGAATGGAAAATTGCCCAAAAATAATAGTACGGCAGAGAAATGGTCTTCGGTATCGTTTTATTACGTTTCATTCAGATTTTCTCACCACAGAATCCGTCGATCGATTTCCAATAAAAGTAACTCAGAAACAGTGAGAAAAGAGGATATAAGGGGGATAGAAGATATAGCCGTTTCTATTGTACACGAGGGACTACTTTCTTCCTTCGTGCTTCCTATGCTTCCTGTTTTAAGAAAAACATGGGTGAGGTGTTATGCGTTATCCCGTAACACCGTTCGTACCAACCGTTAGTGAACTGAGTTTTGTATAACATTCAGCACTCTGAGAATTGCAAAATATATTTCATATAATAAAATTTATAGAATTCTTATTTCGGTTCTGATTTCTGAATACAATGTCAAAGTTTTGAGTCGAATTCAAATTAATTGGACTAGTTTCTTCGTTTTGTATCAACCTTAGTTAATTTATTTACGAGAGATAAAACAATGTGTTATACTTCTAACATTAATTATCGTGTTTACTTTTCTCAAATATTAAATTAATTAATTCTCATATACTAAATTAGCATTGACTTTTAATGACATGCAAAGTTTATAGCATTGTAATTTTATTTCTTGTTCTTCCGTAACTATGTTTATAAATGGATTGTAGTTTTTAAATGTATCTATAAATTCGGATATTGTTTATATACTGCGACTATAAAGACGCATATTCGCGCCTGGAAACGTGATTAATTAACATACTAGAACGTCGCAGCAGTAAGTATACGGAAAGCGATTTCTTCCACGTATTCACGAGAAATTGATTCCCACAATCAAGCCAGTTTCTGGCCCTCCGTAGGATAATCAATGCTTCGTCTGACATAATGACTTCGATCACGAAAATGAATACGATCTCTGTACTAATGTAGTCCCTTGAGATTCGATATACCAAATGGACACGCGAATTTCTCGAAGCAGATCGTTAATGTTTAATAACCGAATTTTGGTCGGCTTCCCAGACACGTGTGCGTGTCAGAGACCATACAGTGTGCTTGTTAACAAACGAGCCTTCCTCATTATTATGGTCATTTACGAGATGTCTTTCCTGAATGGACAATTTAGACGAGCTCAAATTATGTCTATTAAGTACTCACATTTCTGTTTTGTCATTCGAAGCCTATATTTCTTTTTAGTAATAAGCGTTCTGTCTCTGGGAAGTTCATTTCAAAGTAATGTTGAGTAATGTGGCCCACTAGTGAGCATTACTTGATTCAATCTTCTAAACAATTAGTCTGCTGGACGTTCATAATAATACCTGTGCGTCAGTAATGCATGAATACAGTATCGGAAAATAAAATCAACAGGTGTTTGTAAGTGCCGGAAGAACAATTCTATTTTTAAAACTTTGTACAATTAAGGCTGCGCCGAAAGGAAGTCTGTGTCCATCCATATTCAAATACCTCGATTATTGCGTACCTTCGAACCATATCCTTCGTGGGTTACGTGACAACTTTGTTAATCGATCGATTATTTGGAGACGTCATGATAAATCATGAGTCTGCGCGACGATTAATAAGCATTCTGTGTTGCCACACATTTAAACTATACAACCAGACTTTAACGCGTCTTCTCGACTTAATATGACAGCCATTTTACCAGCCACATAACTTTATGGTCGCTCGATTACTTTTCCGATGCGAGCTCAACGATTCGAGAAGAATTCGAGACATTTATTCCAGCCGACCGCGTTTAAATAATCTGAATTTATTATGGTGATCGAGAACTGATACGGAACTTCGACGTGAAACTCAAGTAGACAGGCTATTGGGGGGAAATTTTCACATCATGGTTTCAATGAGCTTCCCCTACGATTTTTGTTCATGATCCTTTCCAGTTGATTTCGTTTATCTACCTACCATTATGGATCGTTTTTTGTATGAATTCAATTTCACCAGGTTTGGAGTAAGATTTTCAAGATTAATTAATGGTTTCGTCGACGACAAATACCCTACAGTTTTTTGTCTTTGTATATATTTATTCGATGATAGAAAAGACGCGGATTTTTAGTATTTTCTTACGAGAAGAGACTTTTTGTTCTCCTTCCCAGGTTGTGTAATATATTGCAGAAATTAATAACCGTAGACATTATTCTTATCAGACAAGCTGACGTGAATTTAGTGTGACCATAAATCTTCTGAAACTTGAGTGAAATTGTCATTCGTTAAAAATTGTTTACTTGCAGCATAATAATTCGATTGTTTTTTTATAAACAGAATGAAACGGAAACCAATCGAATTTAACAAGAAAAAGAAAAGTGTCAATTGTATTCAAAGAAACTTTCATTACCAGTTTAATTGGCGCGAATTGGATTGATTAAGATTAACTACAGATATCGGTTGTGCACGTGCTTTCTATTTCGTCTATTCTCGTCGTCTTCTTTTTCTCTTGTTGCTGTTGTTAGGTTACTTCACTTGAGGTGAACGAAGTTTTTCATAAAATATTCAACTGTTTATCCCATCGAGCTGTAGGTAGTTGGTTAATAATTTTTACTTATCTCTTATGTTATTTGTTACAAATATTGACTCAAGAATTGCGTTCTGTAAAGTAGGTATAAGTGCCAATTTTCGTTACATGCCAGAAAGGTGAAAAAAGGATGTTATAATAAAACTTACTAGAAAATAAAATTTTGTGATTATAAGGGAGAATGTTAGGTTTTGGAGGATATTTTGAATCTAAGGATGTTCATGATTTTAGTACTTTCGGACAAACATTCTATTAAAAGTATGACTCTCCACTTTTATCCTTCGTATCAATCTCTCTACGGAAACTAAAAGTTACAATAGTACATTATATTAATAATATATCATCCGTAAATATTTATCAAACGGAGGGCAATATGAGCTACAGTCAGTCCGATTTATTATTTGTCAGATCTCTCCTCAAAGGTATGGATTACCTACATTAGCGCTCATAATTATTTATCTATCCAAATTAGGTTCACTGTATTAAAAAATGTGTCAAATTTCTCAAAAAATCTTGTTCCCTTCACAATAAAGCCCATAAGGCAGACATAATTCGTTATAATTTACTGAACATTTTCAAAGTAAAATGCAAACTGAATACGAAAAAACCTTTCTTCGATGGGAGGGCGAATAGTTATGATCGGTAGTGTGTGTCTTCACCCATATCAAACAACATATTATATTGTCCCATCAGTTATGCGATTCTTTCGTTACATACGTTAAAATAAACAGTTTTCCGTCAATAATTAATTAATTGTACACGTCCAACATTCGAGCCAAGTCTCCACTAGCACCATCGATTATCAGAAACACCAGAATACGGATTATTGGAGCACAGTACGAATGGAAAAAGATGATACTGTTTCATCTATTTTATTGACATATCAAATATTAGATCTCCCAAATCGAATTACCAGAAAAACCGTTTATCAGAATTGATTCTCTCCCTACCAGTTCAAACAATCCAAGTTCTATCATAATCCATAAAATATCCAACAACTTGTAGCTCCCCAGCGTTCGTCATCGAATCCCCTGGTTCCCAGTTCCAAATTTCCTGAATAATCTCCATGCTACGAGATGCATTTAAAACTCGGCTCTCGAAGGAGCCTCATAACTTATGGAACAATCAAACACAGTCAAACCAAACAACCGGTCAGACAGCAAAGAGGGGGGTCACAGGGGACACACGAAACGTTACCAAGGGAATCAGGCAAACAGTAAAAACATAATCACACACACACACAATTTCCTTCTGTTCCATTTACCTGCACGAAGTGCTGCACACTCTCCAACAGCATGCCGTACATTGTTCCTCTCTGTTTTCACGGTGTCGTTTCACCGAGTCAAGTGCGCATTCATCGAAACACGTACCGTGCCCGGAATCGGGAAAAATCGGTTCCTCGCGACGTTACCGACGCTGTTCGTACCAGGAATCGTATGAAATCGGTGTCCCGGCGACGTTACCGACACGGTCCGTCCCCGAAATCGAGAAAAATCGGTGTTTCGCGGGTGTTACTGCGGTGTTTCGTCGCGGGACGTATCGCATCGTCGCGTCGCGGCCGGCTGGTCGTGTCGCTTCGATGTTTTCGAGTCAAGTGTTTCGCGCCATTGTGCCGGCGTGCGTCGCGTGACGTCGTTTCGACGGCTTCTGCGTCCCTTCGCCGTGTTCAGAAGAGGAAGAGGACGGACACGCACGTGGCCACGTACACATACACCGTTCCAACTCGACGACCCGCTGAAGTTTGAGTTTCTCGGCTGCGTCGCGAGGGTTAACTCCCGTGGCTGGTGAAATAGGGTGGCTTTCGATGCCGCCCGCGGCGGACACACTCTGCGCAGGCCCCGGCCCGCTTGTCCGAGACTTTTTAACACCTAATTGGGTTCCGTGTACGTACACGGCGCGGCAAAACTGCCCGTTTACTCGGGGGAAACTTCGACGACGGTATTGTCGCCGGGTTTGATTAAAAGCGGGCGGGAGAACTCTGCGTCTTTTCTACACTTTGCGAGAGTGGGTGTATGTTTCAATGGGAACGCTTGTGTTCCGTGTTAGGTGGGTCGAAATTAGAGATTGTGGTTTCGAACGTGTGTTCACCCGTTAACTGCATTATAGTTACAGTTTATATGTAAACAGAATGAAACGGAAACTAATCAAATTTAACAAGAAAAAGAAAAGTGTGAATGGCATTCAAAGAAAGTTTCATTACAGGTTTAATTGGCGCGAATTCGATTGATTTACCGAAACTATAGTGGACGCCTATTTTAGTACTTTTGGAACAATATTCGGAATATTTACGTTCGGAAGTTTTACGTACACATACGTTTTCAGTACGTGTCGTTATTAGTACAGGGGTACATGTGTACTACTCCACGTACATTTAAATACACGTGTATGTAGTTACCGGTGCCTTAATGCATCCTTATTTTAATTCCTGTAATTTTTACAACATTGATATGAATTTATAGATCGATATTATTATTCGAAGAAAACTTTTTTCTTTTTCACACAATTTATATGATAGCTTATGAAAAAGAGGACTTAAAATTGATTAAATATAGTGATGTAAACCCTGCTTCTTGTGAAGAAATTTTGTTACCGCAGAGATATGCTATAAGTTCAAAATTACGCGTGATAATGTGTGTCACAAACAAGAGGTACAATTGGTCGTGGAAGATATACTGTTATCTCTGCTACATATACGTGCCAGCGTTCTTAACGTGTGTATGCGTATATTGCGTACACGTTCGTAGAAACACGCGAGGCATTATAATGCGTTGTCGAAGGATACAATTCATCAGGAGGGCTCTTTCTTCACTCTACTTCGCCTGGATAGTTAATTATTCACTAATTATCATTTAATTACTAATAATATATATACGAGAATATAATTCTTTCAGAACTAAGTATGATACCGAAATTATTTGATAAAAATTAGTGAAGACCCTTTAATTAGACTACGATGAATTGGTTCATGTGCTCGATATTGACGGATTACAGATAACAGGTGAAGGCCATTGCATTTATTATAAATTATGTTTGACGCGAGTCTTAATTTACATGCTACGTAATGGACCGCCATCGTCTTTGAAAGATGTTGAACGTGCGCTTGGGTATTTAACTGATATGACTGATATTTTTATCAAACCATGTTTGAATGTATAATATAGATTATTACTGGTATTAGTACGAATTCAAATAATTATATACTCCTTTCATGTTGTTTGGGTAGATTGTGTGTATTACGAAATAAGATTAGCGGATTAAGCACGGTCTGCAGATTGGTTTTTATTGTAGATAATAAGAGTTTTAAGGTTGATTCAAGACGATTGGGCAGGAAGCAAAAACGCATTTGTTTACTTCATGCAGGTGTGGTAATTTATTTTTTGGGACCATATAAATGGTTATTATAATGCACAGATGAGCACAGCTATTGTTTAGATAAACAATTTCGGATGGATAATGAAAGTTAAGGAACTACTGATTTGTTTTGAAAACCACTCTAAAATGTTCAATCCTTATGTGTTGTGGTTAAAATAAAACGAACTTTTTTCCATGGAATATAATCTATCCTTTTCTGAAGAAACATTTTTCAACACGATTTCAGACATAGCATACTTGGTTCGTTTTTATTTCAACCATAATACATAATAATTGAAAACTTTAGGGTGGTTTTATAGTTATGTCACTTAGTGTATGTCACTTAGTGTATATAAATGTATCGTATATTTAATAGTATTTGCCTCTTATGGAAAAAAAATATATAAAAGATTAGAACTTATCTAGATAACACATAACGCCTTGAAGACGCTCATATGACGGCTATTTTATGTCTGAGACGCGTTTAAGCCGTCTTCAAGGCGTCATGTGCTATCTGGGTAACAACTCCCATATCTAAACAAAGGATTTCAAGAACTTAGAAATTAGTAGTGTTCATCTCAAACAAAACACAAGGAACAATCAGGTTCCCATTTACAGACATTACATACCAGAGGGCAACGATGTCAAAGCACGAGCATCGTCTAACGGCCTCTAAAGGTGGAACATCCTATAACCCTTAAACCCATGAGTCTGCGTTTAAACGAAGTACGCCCTATATCTATTTCCCGTTTCATTCCCATTGTCTTCGACGTGCAACGTTCCACGAGCGTCTACTTCAGTAGCGCAACTCACAGACGCAAACGGCACGCATCTCTGACGCTTATAGAAAATTCCGTCTCAAAACCGCCTAGAAGAAACATAACACAACCGCCATACTCGTGTGTCGTTATGCAAATCAAATGACAGTCGGTATTTCCCATCTACACGAGAGAAATTCCGTGGGTCCGTTCAATGTTCCTTTCCATGGGATTTACAGGCGCACAATCGCCGCGGACGAGTCGTAATTTCCGTTACATAGCTATACATATAACGTCGGGCGTACGCGGCGATCACGCACGGCGTTGAACGCAGGCAGCACACTCCGGCGTCGGTAAGTGCGCGCGCGATACCGTGTATAGTGAAAACGTAAACATGGCCGCGGAGAGTAGCGAAGGTTTGCCGATATCTCCGTCCGAGAAATCGTTGTCAGGTAGCTTGGTGTCCGAGGAAAATGAGAAAACCGTGTCGCGATCGCCGTCGACGTACTCGATACGGGAGGACAAGTGGCCGGACCTGGTCGTCTCGAGGCCTAGGAAACTGGACGTCTGGTGGTTGCCGAGACGTGAGTACATAGGCCGATAGGTGCATGCCTACGAACCGTTTTCGGCGCGCTTTTCAAACGGGGTCCACGCGCGATTGTTTTTCGCGTTTATTAAGGCTACCCTGCGAATCGTGTATGCGCGCACAGTGTTGATTCTAGTTTTCGTTTTGTCGAGAAAACGCCTACGTGCCGTTCGTGTCATCGGTGGCAATGTTACGAACGGTTTTACGGCGACATCGTGCAGTCGGGTTGTTTACCTACGTTGCAGAAGATTATTGAACGATTACTGGGGGCTTCAGCCGGATATGAATTGAAATGATAAATGCCGTGTTCGATTTAATAAACCGTAATCGGTTCTGGAGAATTGTGCGATATTCGTAGATCGTTTAATACTAATTATGGAAATGGAAAGACGTTGCTTTTTGTGGAAGAACGATTGTTTAATACTTTGAGGACCGGCGCTCTCTGTGCGTGGCTTAAGGCTATGTCGCTCTGAGAATAAACGATTGAAGATTTAATGAAGTAACAGCAACAATATTTGGGAATTTTTGTAGATGAACATTTGGAGGAAAAGTGTACTAATTTCGTAATTCAATAGTTTTTTAAGGTGTTTCTTTTACGCTGAGATGCAAATTTGTGTTTCTAGTGTTTAAGGTATTAATTTAATTGTATTTCTAAAATTGCATTTGAATGCAAGTGATAAAACCAGAATTTTACAGAATGCAGCTATCACTTGTAATTTCGTAGGAAAAAATAATTCTATATTTTATATTTATATGAAATATTAACTGTATACTAAGACGATCATAATGAGTGCATAAAATTATGTACATAATATAAATTCGTTGTGCATGTACACTCCTGATCTATCGTTCTCTATATTACCGACATTGTTGGATCATCACAAGATGGCAGCACGCACCAGTCACCGCCTAGAGCGGGAATATTGATTAACGTAGGTGGAGGTATGGTCGACGGTTAGAGAATCAATATTACTTTTCGCCGGCGAGCTCGCCATTTTCGAGGTGATATTTTTCGTGAACGAACGACGCACAGAACCACGCGAGTTTTTTCGTCCGTGTGATCAAAGTCTGTAATGTCTCCGTGATTGGAATCCGAACGATGATACGTCGGGTAACGATGTAGTATCAGTCAATCGCGAAACGTTTTTCTCCGCTTAAGCCAGCCTTTCTTTTCGTCGCTTCTACCGCAGTGTCTATATTATCAATTCCTACGCACACGGATTAATGCTTCGACGGTTCACCAACGTCCGCATCGAGTAACACTCCACGATACCAACCGCTTGTGAAGGAATCATCATAAGTGCTTCGAAGCGATCTAATAACGGACAACAAGTAAAACGAGCCTGAAACATCAGTACACAATAGCTGAGTTATTGACGCGATCAACGTTCCATCAGCTGATCAACGTTGTTTAAAATAGACCGTAGGATATAAACGTTATCGTGACTTGGGGAAGAAAGGACAAAGAGCACTCGATAGAAGGCCAATTGACTTCCTGACCAGTAGTTCAGGAGAAAAAGGAGAAGGATAAACTATCCCATTATCAACAAAATATCAATTGTTCTTAAAAGAAAGGTTGAGATATCAAGGATTTTCTGCAAATATCACTGTATTATAGTGAGCTTATCGGTGTGGTCAATAGTACAGAATAAGCTTAGTAACCCCAGAGTAGAAGAGCTTCTGTGACGGATCAAGGGATTGTGATTATTACACACGGTCTTCTATGCGGCAAGAATCCCAAAACGGTTTCAGGATTAGGCCACCGGGCGACCACGGTGGTGTGCATCACGGCGGTATCATGCTTGAGGACGACATGGCTGGCGCTCAAGACACGATATACCTGTGCAATTTCCGGGTGTCGGTAGACGGCGAGTGGCTGTGCCTGAAAGAGCTTCAGGATGTCGAGTTCTCGTTGCAGGACTCGATGCAACGGTCACCGTCGCCCCCGCTCGCGCTCAGTGGTATAAATCATCATCATCATCATCACCATCATCATCATCATCACCACCGTCAGCAACAGCTTCCCGAACAGCGAGAGCTTCGCGATATAATGCCTCCAAGCCCGCCACCATTGCAGCACGTCTCCAGCTTGTGTCTGTACTCGATGTTCTTGCACTACTCGCTTCATTCTTACTTTCCACGACATCTCTCGCGGGACTTGGGCTGAAGCTTCGCACTAATCCGTTCGCGGTCTGATCGGCCTATTCTCGTTCTTGATTGTGTCATAGCTATCGATCCGATGCATCTCGAGGATTTCATTGACTTTTATTTTGTTGATAGTCGTCAGTTTTGGATAACAGTTGAATCTACGGGGAAAAGATAAAGATAATAGGTCAGTTTTGTTTGGACACTTTCAAGTTTAGAGATACCTTCTTTATTAAGGGTTCAATTGTACTTGGTTTATTTGGGTAACCCAGTTGGACTAACCTCGAATACCGAAAAGTCATTTCTATCAATGTAGATGAAGGATTGATAGTTTCTGTTGTTAATTGTTAATTGGCGAGCGTTATTTAATTATTTTTCTCCTAATTTCATTACTGTGATGACTCAGGTTACTTCATAAGCTACAGAAGTATTCTTCGTGAATTTACCATCTATCGAAATTACAATTTATTTCGCTCATTAACAGTGAAATTAATTTCCTCGTAGACAATTACTCTATACTCTGTTCGATGCTATTTTTCACTCTGAATCAATGTATCTTTCTAAAACTTCGTTCTCAAAATCTAAACACTCGAATCTGTCTTTTCTGTTTAATTATCGGACTGTTTCTGTTCCTTATTAGCACGGCCTTTCCGTTTCAATAATTTTACGTTGCGCTTCGTCAATATTCGCATTCACACGTGATCATCCTCATAATACCGGGAAGACCGATTTGTCCTGCAAATATTACCAACGAGGAATGAGAACGATAATAGGAAAAGAAAAAACACTACAGGTGTAACGCATAAAAAAGAAAAACAGACGTTTCATTTCTCTTGGTCCTCGAATGGGAAAAAGAACCTATTGTGTTTTGCAGCACGGGATCCGGTCATCATCGAGAGGAGTAATCTCGTTAATATCTCGAAGCTGATCGTCAAGGAGCTGATCGAAACGTCATTGAAATACAGTCGAATGCTCGACTCCGATCACATGCCCTTGCAACATTTCTTCATCGTCCTCGAGCACGTGCTTAGACACGGTTTGCGGCCAAAGAAGGTAAACCTTCAGACTATCCGCACGGTGATTTTCAATTGCTCAAGGGAACGGCACTAACCCGCCTTCGGTTTCAGGGTCTCCTCGGACCCAAGAAGGAGCTCTGGGATATACTTCAGCTAGTTGAGAAGTATTGTCCCGAAGCACAGGACATTACGTCCAGTATTCGTGATCTACCTACTGTTAGGTATAACATAATTTTATTCTTCCTCTCCAAATCCGATGTGTAGCATGATATGGAAGTTTTGAATGTTTCAATGTTACATGGTCTCTAATATGATCAGACGATGAATGGTGTGGATTTATAAATTTTTCATCAATTTTTGTAGATCGTTTCGAACAAGGTTGAATAGGAATATACTGGGTGTCTGGTTACGTATGCAAAAATTTTACGAACTACCAATTTTATTTTATAGACATGTAATCAAAATAAATTACCGGTAAACAAACAGCTCTTTTTTATACATTGAGACTGCTGTCTAAAATATACTGAATATATACAAAATTTATTCACAAAACAAAATTCTTTCTATTCAGGTCATTTGAAGGCCGAGTTTTAGTGCATTTCTGTGTCTTACTTGACGTGAATTGTGGCACAATATCAGGCAGAAAAATATATTTGATCGATTATCGTAAAAATAAAGGAATAATTCAAATAGTCACAGTAAATGGAACATTCTACACAGGATTGTAACTGAAGTAGATGGTGAAATTTTGAGAGTACACTCCATGTTCTTCCTATTTGAATTACGAAGATTTTACTTACAACAGACCTTGACGAGCCATCAGTAGAATTACGAGTCCCGAAAACAAAAGTCACTCATCGTTCGTAAAACCATAGCTTTCAAGATCCACTTTCGATCCATAAATCATCCACTGGTTGCAATAGAATGAGTGTCCCCAAGATTGTCGCGTTCCCATAACATTTTCAACGAAAAGTGTTCAGACGGTCGACAGGACGAAGTTACATGGTTGATCGCGTTGACATTTTCCAGGACCGCTATGGGTAGGGCGCGAGCGTGGTTACGCATGGCGTTGATGCAAAAAAAATTAGCGGATTATCTGAAAGTTCTGATCGATCACAAGGAGGATATATTGTCCGAGTACTTCGAGCCGGACGCATTGATGATGAGCGAAGAGGCGATCGTTATAATAGGTCTGCTGGTGGGTCTGAACGTGATCGACTGCAATTTCTGTGTGAAGGTCAGTTGGATCCTTCCAGTTTATCGCTAGGACGTCGATCCTCGAGCGAATCCGTTGGCTAAGAACCGATTGGAAACTTGTGTTGCGTACAGGAAGAAGATCTGGACTGCCAACAGGGCGTGATCGATTTCTCGCTGTATCTTCGCAACAGCAATCACATACCTGGCGAATCACCGGATGACGAGGTCGAGAACGACAACATGACCACGGTTCTCGACCAGAAGAACTACATCGAGGAATTGAACCGTCATCTAAAGTAATATTTTCTTTTCTGTCCACGGAGGACCACGGAAATAGTCGAATGGGTAGGGTCAGAACTACAGTTTACGTCGATTTCAGTGCAACCGTGACGAATCTACAAACAAAAGTGGAATCACTGACGACGACGAACGCTCTGATGAAGGAGGATCTTTCGATCGCTAAGAATAACATATTGTATCTTCACGAGGAGAACAAACAGCTGAAGAAAGAATTGGGCATCGAGGTGAAAGACACGAATGAGGTACGAGTTTCGGTGCTTAGGGGGATTCCGCGCGATGATCGAGATTCCCGACGTGTTTTTCGTTCCAGAACGGAAAAACGCCTATTAAGATCACCGAGACCACGCAGGAGATCGAGGAACTGAGAAGTCGACTGGAGAGTGAAAAGAAACAGCGACAGGACGTGGAAAAGGAATTGGAATTGCAGGTGGATAATCAACTTAATACGGTGCTCCGCGGATTAGTGGACATTTTATACATCGGATTACGAGTTTCTCTTCTTTATCCTATTTCAGAAATTGAATTATTGTATAGGTAATCCACGTATAACACAATTCCTCAAAATTCCCGTGTAATGCGAATTTGTGTTTTACGAAACGAAGACCTATCTACATATGTACATCCACGAGCAAACTCGGCTTCCACTAGGAGAAAAAGTGACGTAGGATAAGGGCCTCCTACCATTTGGTAAATTTATTTCAAGTACTGAAATAAATGTTAAAATGCATGGTAATTTGGCATAAATTTCAGAAACTTCCGAATTCAAATAGTAGAAGGCCTTTTCCCTCGTGGGTGTACATACAGAAAGTGGGGATTGTGTTCTAAAAATTAACAAAACTAAATTATTCCACACAATAATCGTGTTAGAGCGGAACCGTGTTATTCAAGGGTTTTCCCAATCCTCTAACAGTGTAAAGGTGCGTATCCACTTGTTGCGTATCCCTAATATCGTATCACCGTTGCGTATCATTGTATCGTATCGTTTTTTCATACGCAATGATGCAATACTTTCCCGTCCACATTGATACACAACGGTGATACGATACGAGGTACGCAACAGTGGATACGCACCTTTAGAGCGAAACCGTGTTATGGGAATGCCGTGTTATACGGGCTTTGCCAGTACAATTATTTGCCGAAATTTCGATCGTGTTTCAAAAAATTATTTTAATGTTCGATGGTAAATATCATCATTAAAAAAATCGAGTGTTTCCTGTACAACCAGTTAAATATCACGGATAAAATTATTAAGTTTTTTTTCTACAAATACCAGTGCAGATCTGCCTTCGAGTTAGAAATAGTGGAGCACCGTACAAAGTTGACAATATGTAACAACACAGTTCAGTGTCTGACGAACGAAATTTCCCCCCGAAACAGATCAGCATGAAATCGGAAATGGAAGTCGCCATGAAACTGCTGGAGAAAGACATCCACGAGAAACAGGACACGATCGTGTCGTTGCGGCAACAGCTCGACGATATTAAACTGATTAACTTGGAGATGTACAAAAAGCTACAGGTGATGTCTAATACTCCTATTCGTCAATTAATCGTAACGTGGTATGCTTCACTCTAAATCGATAACAATCGTTTCTCCGAACGTTCGGTATCAAAATCATTCCCCATGTTCGTAATTAAATAAACATTCAAAAACAAAATATGTTCCGAGCAAATCGATCGTCAATCATACCCTCGTTGCGATTAAAATCTCTTCATTGCACGATTCATACATTCTCACCCGTTGCACCACGAAGAAAACGTTTCCATATTCTCCCGTCTCCTACCAATTAACTTGGGCCCATATTCACAGATTTTACCCTCGATTAGCGAATCTTTTATTCCTTAGCGTTGTTCCCTACGACGCCAGGGGGCGCTCGCAGTAGGTTCTTGAAAAATTCCTTGTTTCTGGACGTGTTTCCGTTATAGGAGTGTGAGCACGAATTAACGCAGAAAGGGGAGATGGTGAGCCGTCTCCACGAGAGGACCAATCAGATCGGGAAGATTCTCCATAACCTCGAGAAGTACAACCACCTGAAGATGGACGGGGACTGTATTCGTAGCCCGACCACGCCCGGTGGTGTCGCTAAATCGTTTCTTAACCGAACCAGTCCCACGTCGCCGCGAGGCTGCCAGTCGGTAGTCCCCGATCAGCATCATTTGTCCTTTAGTCAGCAACGATTCGCTAATATCAAACCGAAATCCGTCGTCGGTCGACCCGCTAACAATCATCAGCCATCGAATAACAGTCAACAGGCCCCTAACAATCGACAGGATCCCCCTAACAATAGTGAACGAAAGAAAGCCGACGGCCAAGACGCTACTAACGATCACGGATCGTCGAAGCCCGACAAGAGTAAATGCAACGGCGAGGTTCCTGCGGCCGCGCAATCGTCGACCCAGGAACCGTCGAATGTGTAAAACAGTTTTTCTTTTTTCGCCTTTCGAGGACGGTTTTTATACTGTACACGTTGAAACCTTCGTTTAATAATCCTGACTAACGCCCTGTAAGCGACTGTTTTTTTTTTCCTTCTTTTATACATGGATGTGCTTCTGAAATGTCCAACGACATTCTTCGGCAGGTAGTTGACGATTCTGTATATAATTTTGTAAAATATCACTTTAGATTTTGCTCGATATTCCGCTTGGGTGTTCGTGGGTATCGTTTGTTAGCGCTTAGTCGTAGTCGAATGATTAACACGTTGAATATGCCGATTTTCGTACCGTGAAAGTGAAATCGCTTCGCCATGCACGGGGTGGATGAGAATAAAAGTGTTTGTATAGAATTACTGAATTTGAACTGTGTTGTCATACTTCGTGCAGTTACTTTACCTTTCTATATTAATAGTATCGAAAAGCATAGAAATATTAGAGGTTGCTTGATTGAAAGTGTTTTCATTAGTGTTGACAGTGTTGGTCATTGAAGGCCATCGACGGCAGTCAACGTGTTAATGAATTAATCTTCGTTGAATTGAGATACCGATGGAATTTATCGAAATTCAAATATAATGAGCCTAAAAAATGGTGGCAGTATCGACGATGCTCAGATATGGCGGTGTTCTTGGACCTTCCAGAAGCATCGTACGCCTGACACTAAACGAGTATATCAAGTAACTAAATTACATTTTAGAATTCTCTCATGGTACTTCGTATATCCGAAAACGTGTAGAAAATTTCCAGAAATCAATTTAAAATGTATATGACGGTTTGATTATTACGAACGATTCACGCATCAGTACGCTTCTAATAAAGTCTCCGTCGAGACGCTCTATATAAAATTAGCTGTGCTCTGTTATTGCATAATTGCGCTGTTAATGAAATTGCTATTATATATTAAACTATCGAAGACAATAACGTCAGTAGAAGTTTTTACTATATTACGCTCTTCGTAAGGTTCAGTTGCTAAGCATTTTGACCCTCATTAATATCTGATTACGTTCATTAATCCTGTATATACAGCTCTTTGAGTAATTTATTCTATTTACAAAGGTAATATTAATTACCGAGTCATTCCAGCGACAATCATTCTCTACTGTATTACGAAATTAAATGGATCATAGACATGCTGTTGAGTAGAGTGCGCAAGTTTGTTGTAAATTTGAATTTCTGTCGATTAATTTTTGTCCAACGAGAGTTAAAAATAATATAAATTCCAACGAGATTAAAAGTAACGTAAGATATTTAAGGAACACATTAAAGTCTCTATTTTACAGCATTTCATTGGTTCTTAGAAAATAAAATGGCCGATTTAACTTTATCTTCCGTGTTTTCTGTAACTCTTAAACCAATAAATGATATTTACAAATGAAACAGTGACGTTAAGAGCAGAACTCCTGATTTAGTGCTGCATCATGAAAAAGGTAGATCTATCCATTCGGTTGTCAAAGTTTTAATTAATTATTAGTCAATTAATTCTTTAAAGAAGGTATAAAAGATCATTGAACTTTATATACTTTGTAATTATAGTAATAGTAACAATACTTAATAGTGATAGAGGCACTAGAGTCCATAAGACAGGTTTAAATGGCCATTATTTCTCAATTTTCATCAAATCCGTAATCTGTTCACGAGAAATGCAAGAGAGAATGATGCTTGCTGATGTGTGATGTATTCTTCCTAAAGTTCAATTATATAAATTCATCTTGCACGCCTTTACGACTGATTTAACCCCCCGACACAATTTCTGACGTCGCTTCAAATCCTTTACATGGGCCGTTCTACACCGAACACCAAACTGAGTCGTATATCGTATGTACATGTATATGATATTTCTACGAATTGTGCGATTTCAGGGTTAGTTTGAGAAACGAAACGGTTCTTTTTCATTTTTCACTGAAACGGAATTTATTTCAGGAGTGCGAAGGCTCGCTTAAGCATAAGACAGAACTGATCACTAAATTGGAGGCTAAGACGCTATCGATGACTGAGACCATCCAAAAAATGGATGAGAAGTATGTTTATTTGTCTTTCATTAGTGTTAGTTATATCATAAGTACGACCGACACGTTGGTCCTTAGGTCATATTCGAAGCGATCGTTGCATTATTAATTGAATACTGCATCTTACATAATTATTCTGTACAGTTCTCGCTTGATTTCGTAACCGTATCATTTCATCATCGTTGTTAAACCTCTGATCGTTGCATCAGAATCATCACGCAAAGAACAAAAGGACTTCGGTGTACCCAAAAGCATCGATTCTGTCCAAATTTCATAGCCTCGAGGAATCAAAAGTAGCAAAGCAAAAATTGCGTTCATTTGTTAAGAATTTAACATTTAATGTTCCTTACTGAAGGGACAGCTCTATTTTCAAAAAAATTAACAACAAATACGTTTTTGGGTCGATGAAGTCCTCGGATCACCACTTCCTCAGAACCCAATCGAAAAGAAAGCAATCTTTCAATTTCTTCAGTTTCTGCCCCCCCAGGGAATATAGCCGCGCGTAAAACAGAAGAAAAAGAATTAACACCAAAAAATCTATTCGTTATCGTACTTTAGCATTTACGTACAAAACATAGTCGTTGTGATAAGAAAATTTTTCTATTAGCCCTCACCGACCGACGAACTTTTCCTGCGTCGACACCGAAAAAACGATAAGAAAAAAAAGACAAAAACAATTAACATACTCGCCAGACGGGGCCGTATCTAGCGGCGATTTATTTTTTAACGTAGGCGTCGCGAACGCGATTGGGTCCTTAGCGTAGTCGTAGCGACACAGTTCCGTGCTAGGAACACGCACTAAGAAACAGATCGAGTTATCGTTAACGGAGATGTTGGTAAACCTTCACTGAATCGCTACACACAGTTACGTCTATTTAGAAATATTAATGTTACCAGAGTTCTCCCACGCGGTTCACCGCGATAATTCGTAGATTTTTACCTCGTCGAACAAACTAGTCGGTGGAATGAAACGTGTATTCCGTGGCAAAACGCAGAAATCTTCGATCGGAATTTATTTTCGTTGCTCGGGCGTGAAATATATATATATATATATATATATATCTTCGCGTTAATTGTATATGTCAATTATGGGATGCCATTGGCGGCGTCTAAGCCGATCACGACGAGGATTCATGATCCACGTACACACACACAGTTACTGTATTTAAGGAGCTGACTTGCGATCATGTTCAACCATTCACGCCATTATGCCGAGATTTTTTTGTACGTTTCTTTCGACGTCGTTTTTACAAGTTATATACAATCGATGGTTGTCGTTTTCTTTTTTCTTTGTTGCTCCTAATTGTTATGTTTTAACGCTTGTACGGCACCGGCCATTCATGTTCACAACAGCAGACTTTACAGTGCCATACGAGTGTAATTTATATTCTCCCTTTATAAATATAAAATTATGTATAAGCATCGAGCAGTGGTCGTTATAATGCACCGATACACTACGTGTGCTTGTACCAATGCATCGGAAATAAATTTATGACAGAAGAATCGATTGCATTTGATTATCCCTTGGATCATCGTCGTTCGGCCCTATGGGTGGCGTTTTAGCTGCGTTCGGAGACTGAGCTGAGTCGCGTAAAAGTGGAATATTCTGTTAGCGTCAGACGCCTGTCTTTGCGTCTGAATTGCTACTGACGCAGACCTTACACGTTGAAAACAATGGAATGCGGAATTAGAAACAGATATACAGACTTTTCTTGATTATCGTCTGGCTTGTTCTACACGATTATTGTCCAGGCGTTAGCCCCACAACTGGGGAGGGGGTGGAACTTTTTAAGTGCATACTTTGTTGCACCTCTTCTTGCCGAGGCTCGGGTTTCAGGCCAAAAATAAATTTACGAGGGTCTGAAGCATTTCTCCCTATTCGATTATTGTCCTGGCGCGGACCCGAGTTTTGGACGATAATCGAGTGGAGTCTGTAGGCCAAACTTCGTTTAAATGGTTTTTCTGCTGTACAGAATTATACGTCTTTTGGAGGATTTATTTCTGTAGGAATCTGTAACAAGTTAAAGAAGTTATATTTATTAGATTTTTTTTGTATTTATCTATGATATATATTTTGTGTAGTACCTATAGAATCTTCAAATTGTCATTTGAACCCTTTTGGTACGACGGAGTCGGCCGCCAGTTTGCTTCCGCTGTGTACGGAACTGTCGAGTCGTGAGACTATACATATATTGCCGCGAACAGTGAAACGTCTGCTCAATTCATGCTTGTAATTAATTAAACTAACTAAGTGTAAGTAAATTCGGAACTAATGCGAAATTTTGACGGATGATTGTGGTTACCTTTAGTACACAGCGGGCGCTCAACGTGGGGTTAACAGTCACCCTCGGCGACGAAAGAGTTGAACACAGACGTGCGTCTGACGTTGAAAGGAAGTTCCACCGTTATGCCACATTTCCACTTGTGATATGGATAGATTTTGTCCTTTTTACCTGAGACATAACAAGTGACCAAGAAATTTTTTGTCGTTTCTAGATCTTGTCATTGTCAAACTCGAGTAATTGGCAGTAGGGAAATTAATTATTTAATATTTTGGAAAAGTGACCTCAGTATGATTGCTTATTTTATGAATTCAAATTGAGCATCAGCAACTAACTGAACCATCCCCAAAGATTCCTCAGATAATGGCACCTTCGGACTATAATCTTTTCTTGGCAATAGATAACCATTTACGAAATCGGCGATTCTAACATCGAAAAAACTTTGAAAGGGAGTTAAAGCAGTTTTTTATACCAGAGAGGAAAACTTTTATAAGAAAGGAATAGACAGGTTGTTAAATCGTTGGGAAAAGTTAATAGAAGTCAAAGGTGATTATTTTTTTAAAGTATTGTTTGATCCACCTTGTGTACCATTTTTATCTCTATTGATTAAAACAATAGTTTGTAAAAAAAGGAACTTTGATCAGATTAACGATACCTATATTTTATTTTTACTGAATTAATGATTATGTTTTACTCAACAATGAGTGCAAAAGATACTTCTAAAAGAATTACTAACTGGTACATCAATATTATAATTTGTAGATCTGCACAATTAGAAGCACAACAAATAAATTATTAAACTAAGAACAAATAAAATTCATGTATTACAATTCCTGGTTAACATACCTTTTTGCTTCTTAAAAGAACATTTTTGATTTTCTACGAGTTCTACCTGATGTAAGATAAAAAAACACAGAATAAACAACTTCGAAGGCTATATAAAAAGCACTAGTAATAAACGAAGTACAAATCATCATATTATTATTATTCTGTCCACCTTTCATAGAAAGACTAGCAAATCAAAGTGTGAACGTAGCTTTAGATAACTCAGCTCGGTTTCCGTCTGCAATCCTCACGCGACCCGAGACAAACACATTTTTTTCTCTCCCAATTCTCGTCGAATAACCGTACGAATCCCTTAATTTTTCGTGATCTTAATCCACATTGAAATTTTACCACGGAAATCGTGCTATTCCGTCGTCTCCCCGTCTCGTGGTGGTTCTCGTGAAATACCGAACTTATGATAATGCGCAAGGTAAGTCGGTGGGGTCTTCCGTCGCGTTAATCGTCGGGATTATGGGTTCAAGGAAAAATAAACGAGCGGCCGAAGATCGGGGGATCTCGTCCGAATTCACCGTAGGATATCCCGGGTAGCCGTCGGAGCCATTATAAAAACATCCCGGCCCGTTTCTTCGGCTGGATAATGATATTCGGTCATGAATAATCATGGGGAAAGACTTCCGGGCCGGGACTTCGTCCCGAGTTACAGATCTTCCCCTGTACCCCACGTAACTTCCTTCCGTTGCGAGAGGCTTAATATTTCTGCGAACTCAAGCAGAAAAACTGCAGCCACGGCGCGGGGGGTGTGGGAACCACCGAGGCGAATTTGTTTAAACGGATGACCCGCCACCGTCCGTTGAATTAGTTAAACGAATTTCGGCCGAACATCCGGTTTATGTTTGAATTGTTTACCATGATAGCGCCCGTTTCGTTCTTCGGCGACAGTAATTATAACGAGCTTCATTATGTTATCACGTATGAACGTTGCTATTAGAAGTTAATGGGGTCGTTCAATGGAATATATTGTCATCAAGTGATCGCAAGACAGTGCCTTAAGTATCATTTCGAAATTCGTGATTAATATTGAAACGCGATTAACGTTCGATGCAGGAGAAATGTCGCGTGTACCTATGTATACAGTAAATCCTCGATGAGTGTCCGAAAGCTCCTCGGTACTGGCAAGGAGGGCTGCCCAGGTCTAACGTTGATTTTTTAAGGAGGTTAGGAGAGCGATAGAGCTTGGAATTTCGAAGCCAATGATATTTGTTTCAACCGCATGTAGCTGTTAGTTTTTGAAATATTTAATATTCAATATCGGGGAGCATTCGAACACTCATCGAGGATTTACTGTAATTGATTGTACTCGATAATTCGTGTAAATTCAGCATCGTTACGGAAGGCAGAAACATTTCGTCGGGTTCTAATTCATAAATACTCTTCTCATCTATTCTTTTTCATTCTATTAGACTGCGGAGGTTTATGCAAATTCGCATTTTTATAGCGTACTTTATAAAAGCACGGATTAAACATTGACACTTACCGAACGAATTGATCTTTTACATGTTTATGTTTTGTTCCGTCGTTCAATCGTGCATCGTTTTAAATGCAGAAAGTCCGCAATCTATGAACTCTATAAATTCCTATTCGTTCTACTTTCTCAGCCTCCTGTGCTGAATTATTACGCAACGATCTCGTTATACCCGAACATTCATTTTTCATCTGCATTTTTCAATCAAGCGTCTGTCGTATGCGTTTCCCCCTTCTGTGAAATCGCCACGAAAAAGCAATTCGGTCACGGTTAAGGTGAGATCACGGTTACCGAATTATTTTTCGGGTGAACGCACCGAGAATCGTACACCGTGTACCATTGTTCACGAGGGTTAAGTACCAGCGATTTCGCTTAATCAGGTGCAAGGAAATGGACGGCGTGAGATCTGGAGCGGAGGAAAGGGTGAAGATTTTGGGAGCGGAGGCGGCCCAGAGGGAGGCGAAAGCGACCGGGGTCGAGAGGGAATTGCGACTCGAACGTGAATGGAGGACCTCCTTGCAGGAAGCATCGATTTCGAGCGCGGAGAAGATCTCTCAATTACATCAGGAGATTGATCAGTTGCGGCGGGTGTCCGAGGTAGGTCGAACCCCGGATAAATGTGCATACGAGATGCCTTCGGAGAGGAACGCCCGGATCCGATCTCGAAAACGGCTATTTCACCCATATTGAGGAGTTTATTCCTTTTTCCTTTATCCGTCGAACTGCGTATCGCCAGGCGGAGCTCAATCCTATCATTAAACTGAAGCAGTTTATGCAATCCGATTTAATTGAAATTTCGGATGTTTTGAAATTGCGGAATCATTTAGAGTGAAGGTACCTTATATCGTCTAGCAAAAGTTACATCGGTGTCAATGGAATAATAATTGATATTTTTGCAGGTGATATGTATAAAAACTATTAAAGTAAGTGAAGAATTGAAACCTACACATTTTTAATTGGTACTCAAACAATGTAAGACATGCGAAGTTTTACCTTTTTAGCCAATGGCCGATAAATTTTAGTGTCTGCTTTGCGATATATGTATAATGAGTGGCGATATTAGGTAGTTTCACCCTATATCACCTTCTTATCCTTGAGCCATTCGGAGACGCTAATCGGTTACAATTTGGAATTAATTAAAAAATTGTTGTTCATTCATAGATTCAGTCAACTACAAATAATACAAGTGATTGTATTAAATCTTCTTAGAGTCATATTTCATTGAATCTAATTTAGTCGCATAAAATCTACTTTCTACTATATGTTTGCCAATTTTTTATATGTGACATTAGAAGACTAAATTGAACTGTTTTTAGTACGCAGTAACTACAGTATTTCGTTTTGATCTTTCGATAACCAGACCTGGGAAAATTTGATTTGAAATAAAAATAAGAAATAACTAATAATAAATTATTTTTAATATTAATTTTTATTAATTTATTTGTGTATTTCCAATTTGGCAAAACAAATAATGCTCAAAATAATGTGCAACAAAAGGATTTTATTTTATGAAATCTTTACAGCAATTTGCTTTAAGCAGAACCCACTTTTTAAAAAGCTTTTTCCTCAGAGATTTTGTTTGGGTTCATCTAATATTATCGCTAAAGAAAATAATCGTTGCACTGGCACTGGTATAGAATGTCAATAAACCAAACTCAGACCTAGTGATCTGATATAATTTCGAAGAATAATTTCACAAACTATTTCTAAGAATTATTTCAAATGATGGGAAAATAAAATAACATGCTTTTTGAAATAATATTTCATATAATGTTATTTCAGACGTGATCACAGGCATGGAAATAATTATGAAATAAAATAACATGTTATTTAAAATAATATTTTAAACAACATCATTTCAGAACTGCCCAGGTCTGTCGATAACGAAGCAAGGAATGTTCTGTTCTGGAAAATAATGAAAACGTTAAATTATGTCTATAATACGTCAACGTATTTCTGGATTTAGACTCTCGCATCTGGTAGTCGAGCGCCATGTGGTCGAAATGGCAAGAATCATTGAAGCTCTGAATACAGTTCCCCTGACGTTATGCTTGGAATTCACAGTCTAATATCGTCTAATTAACCCTAGAATTTAGACACAGAATTACATGAACGTTTAGTGCACAACATCCAAGTAAAGCGTCACAATTCTATGAAGACAGGGTCGTAATCATGATCAATTGAATAGAGCGTCTGTTCCATAGTTTCCGAATTGAAATTAAAGCAGCAGGTTTCCGTGAAATGACGATGTTCTTCATCATCAAATATTAAAGATAGTTTTAAAAAGATATACCGTTCACAATAATTATAGGAATTCTGGAAATTGCTCTGATAATTCTTCTTTTACATGGCAGAAAGGTCGAAAATTTGAACATCACGAGTCATGAGTTTGACGCAACATTTTGATCCCAAAAGGTATTTCACAGTTTGATTATCCACCGTATTCGTTTAATTCGGCTACATCAAACGAAATCCTCTGATCCAAATTGGAAACGAAGACAAATAAACGACAATTTAAAATCATTTTGACATTCACAGGGTTTCGACGACTACTATCTCTGCCATCTTGAAAAAGAGTTACTAGAGCTATTTCCATTGTTTGTATAATTATTATAAACAATACATCATTTCAGAATGAAACTATTTTCAATAATTGCTGATAAAAAGCACAAATATCATACGAAAACTTACCGTTTGAACTTCATTTCGTAAACTCTCGGTACAAACCGCGTACAATTGCCAACTTTGTCGTGGCTCTAACAGAACAAGGACTACGTTAATTTCATGTCACATAACCAAACAACATGAATTCCCTACAAAATTACGAAGAACACTTGCAACAAGGAAATCGTTCCCACACAACACAATCCATTCGAACAAGTCTCTTCCTACAGCTCCAAAGAATCCCCAGTAGCAAGTTTGCACCGAGGGCAAAAGGTAACGCGTCTCCCTCAGCAACAAACATTCATCCCCCTTGAACATCGATTTTCCTCCACCGAAGAGGGACAGCCCTTTCACACCCACCACCCCACCCGCGAACTTTATCAATCTCGCCAAAGTTTCGTAGCAACTCGGAAAATCGGATCCGCTCGCTAATTGTCGCTGCATCGCGATTCGTAATCGTCCCTGGGGTCTAAGTACATATACTCCCGATAACAATTAGTATCGAAGTGCCAGCGGAAGAAGGGTCGGTTACTTCGGGACGCAAAGTTCCCAGGTGTGTAATTCCCTGGACCTGACACCCAGCCTCTATCCCCTATTGGTTTCTGCTCTCAGAAATACCTGGCGCTGCAGGAGGAACACTACGCGCTGAAGGAGATCTGCACCGAGCAGGAACGAACTCTGGAGGAACTTGGCGGACAATTGAGCACTGCGAAATTGGCGGCCGTCGAATTACGGGAGGCCGCTGACAACGCTCAGCAGCAGCAACGGCTAGAGGGTGCGGCAGCAACGACGACCTGGGCGAACGATCGGCTGGTCACCCATTGCAAAAGCTGCAACCGTGAGTTCAACATCACTCGTCGTAAGGTAATCAAACTTTTTAATTGCCCCCACGCTATGTCCGTCAGCCAACCAGCCATTCCCTCCACCCTCCACCCTTTCGTCCAGGTGCCCACGGTCCGGCGACTCGGCTGAAAGCCACGGCGTGGTGCGTTTAATCGTTCAATTATCCTTGCCGCCCTCGAAATTACTGGTTCCACGGTCCAGATTTCTCCTGTCCGGCCATATATGGAGGGTGGGATCTTGTACGGGAACTAGGCTGACCTGATGCGCCCATGGAACTACCGCCGACGGCGTTACCAAAGGTTTTATCGTGTCTGTGGGTTACGCCCGGTCTCGGACCCGTCCGACCAATCCGCCCTACGTAGATCGGAATCGCGTGCGCCTAGCACAGGGGCAGCTTTGATGCACGACAGTTCTGTTATTAGAGATAACCCGGTGTATCGCCCTGTTTAAGGCTTGCAATTACAACCGGCTAACCCCTGTTTCTCGTTTGTTCGTGAGGCCCTACTTGCCTGGCTAATTGAAAAGATCCATCGTGAAATGGGGGGATATGGTGGGGATTGTTGATTAGGCCTTATCGCGTACTTGAGACTTCCTGGGATACCTTAATGATGAGTCGGTGTGTTTACGTTTCTTGTGGATCTTGAGGGTACCTTACCCTCTGTAGTGGACTCTCGCGGCACTAGCGTAGCTTTGACGGTTGGCTGATGGTGCTTGAGTCCATTTTATCTGGGTTTTCAAAGAATTGTTAGCTCATGGGAAGTATTGGGTTGTTAAGTATCAAACTTGACAATTGTCAGAATGTAAGTTTTGACATTTATTACCTCTCTGTTGGCGCCAAATTTCAGTAGAAGGTTAGGTTAGTTTGAAAGATATCAAGTGTCTTTATTCTTACCATATCTGCGCTCTTTATAAGTCATTTGTTTGTTAAAATATACTTATTAGGTTTATCGTTGACCCAGTTTTGTAGAACTATGGAAAAGTCGAAAATTTCTGTTGTTTATGAGTATGAGTTTCGTCGTGGAATTACACCGTCATTATCAACGCTGTGGTTGATGAAGGATCCACTACTTAAACCACGGCGAGCAATTGGTACAGAAGATTCAGAAATGGGAATTTTGAACCTCATCAATGAGTCACGTGGGAGACGAGAGTCGAAGGTGGATAATGTTTACCTGGCAGCCGTAGTAGAGTCTGATTCATCTTAAAATATGTGTAAAGTGGTATCGATATTCAATATCTTCATACCCACCATATTGGCTCATTTGAGTAATAATTAAGAAACTACTCAATATTTAAAGTAGAATGTCTTTTACATTTTTATCCTTGTAGATAATTATCATCATTTCCATATGTAATAAAAAAACATTGTTTTATTCAATAAATTGGCTCATTTGGGTAATAATTAAAAAACTACTAAATATAAAGCAGTATTTTACAATTATATTCTTAAAGATAATTATCATCATTTCCATATATAATAAAAAAATATTGTTTTATTCAATATTCAACATTAAGAAACTATATTATTATTATTTTAGAGACGTATTATTCCAAAATATTCCAACAATTTGCCTTAGATTTAAAAACATTACCTTTGACCAGGATTTCGTTGAAACGGCGTGTTGATTTGTCAAGGGTTTATTTGAAACTAAGATTTACGGTTTTGTGTTCTGCGTATCGAACCAATGTAATCTCTATAATGATTACAAACCATAGATTCATAAAAAATTTCCTTAACAAAAACATTGAATATCCCCATTACTTATTTAACGTCGTTCATAAAACACTTTCAAGATTGTTCGTAAAACGATCGAACGATGTATTTTGAAAGTTTCGACGCCGCAATTACCAGGCACGGGATCCGCGTTATTTAAAAGTACACTCACGCGTGGCCACCGCGTCGAAGTAGCCAGGAAATTTAAGTGTCGAGAAGCAAAACGATGTCTTTACAGCACCAAGATCCATCGGTGTGTATGTATGTGCCTGATCGTGGGAGGGCAAGAAAAGTTGCGGAAAGCTTCGTTTTTTTTTCTTCTTCTTCTATTTCGTTCGCGCCCGTTGAACAACGCTCCGGCACGATATAAGCACTTAAAGTATTCAGCCAGATCAGATCGTTTCGAGGTGCAGTTGCGTGCATCGATAAGGAAAGGCGGCAAGACCGAGTGTATTCGTGCATTCGTCATACGGATATATTCCGCGGGGAAAATTTATGTTCACCGGGGCCTTATCGAAATTTCATGGACGTGCACGATAGACACGATTTACTGGAGCTTCTTGACGCCGCGCTAATGGCACTCCTAGGCCCTTCTCGCCTTCATAAACGTAGGAAAAGAGTCGATTTGTTACGCGCGATTCGTTGCTCACCCCCCCTAACCCCCACCCAACTTTACTCCATCATGGAACCGCGCGCGAGGAAAGTTGCAGGGGGTTGGGATCGATTCGATTACCATTTGAAAACGTTCAATCAGGCTGCTGATAATCACTTGAAGCTTTCCACGTAGAGAGGAAAAGTATTTTTCGACAGAGGGACAAACGAGCAATTTCCATTTAGTGTTAACCCTTCGGGGATGAGAATCTTTTTCTTTTTTTTCAATATCGTAGATATTTTTGATTACGTGTTGGGGACTAAAACAGTTACAATGGAGGAAAATGTGCATTGTTCTTTATTGCTTACTTCGCTTAATAAGGGAATTATATAATAATAATTGGAAAGGAATATGTTGTGCTGTTTAATTGGTGGTATTTACTCGCAGAGTTAATTTATAGGGGTTTGTTATGGATAATGGGTTGCACCGTGTGTTATTAAAATCAGTGGATAATGTTTTATTACTGCATATGGCGTCGCGGATATCATTATAGATTCATTGGTGATTTTGGAATTTTGTTACAAATTGGATGATTGATAGATTCGTGAAAAACGGTTTTTTTAATTTATGTTTGTGAACAGTTGTGTATTCCAAGAATGTGTAAACATTGTAATAAGCATTAATTTTTTTTTATGATTGTGAGTGTATTAAGTGATCAGTGATTCATAATGAAATTTGTTATTTCGGCTGCAAACGGGACAAAGCCGTGAAATTTCATTCTTCGAGGGGAATAAAAGCCAACGAATTCGTTCAAGTTTCGTTCATAATTGAGAAAATTAGTTGCAATATTATTTCCACGTTAATAACTTATTCATTCGATTTAATTTCAATTATTATTAAAATATTACCATGATATATCTGTCATTATTTCCTACCGTTCTGCACGAAATTACGTGTATGTTTTAAGCAGTTATATTTTATATACAATATAATTCAATATGGACCGTGAATTTGATACAGTTATCGCTGAAATTCTTTGAAAAGGTTCTATAAACTCCAATATGTATTATTAAGAGGAGAAATTTATTAAGAGAAAAAAAATACAAATTCGATATATGTTTTATACAAGCTTACGTACGATAAATTAATCGTAGAATGATTTTAGTGTAACTTTTAATCTGCCACAGATTAAACTAGTATTCCATGAAATTCGTTGCATGCATTCTTCTACCAATTCTAGAAGTACAATAATAACAATACTTTCTCAAATAAACTGTGAGAAGAGTGTCACAAGCTATAATTCTTTCATTTCCATTTGATTGCGTAAAATATTTCCCAACACGTAGTTCCACTGTCCAACTAAAAGTGTTATAAATTAAACTCCAATACTTCAAGCGTGATGGCACTAGTGTCACTTTGTATAATAAATGAAATACTATCTAATGAATCAGTTTCTTTTCGCTAACAATTACATGTTGTCGACTTGTGTCACTTTTTTTGCGGGGATGCGATATATTACTAGATTTATTCCCGTATAAATTAAAATTAACTCTTAGAATACATTCGAATCACACCTCACTGCAAGAAACTTACTTGAAAAACGGAAAAATGTACAGTTCTCATTGTCGAGGCTTTCGGGTGTAAGCTGTGTCCTTGTGGAATTATTTTACCAACGCTTCGCAAGCATTACAGCTAGTCTTCATCAGTTTTTTGTGCCTTGTAGTGCTCCACTAACCCATAAACAGTCGAATAAAATTATAACTTGTGGTAAAAAAATGTATATTTTAATATATAAAAATAAAATAGTATATAATATATATTTCTTTACTACAATAAAATCAAATTACTTCTATCTATAATAAAATATGTAAAAAAAACATGTCTTACACGTATCTTTTTAATAATTACGGCGTGTATAATAACTGTTAACGGGCTAATATACTAGAGCTTGTTTATGTTCCAGTTCATTGCTCACCAATAGAAAAAAATTTCTAACTAGTCAGCTGAACAATGAAAAAACAAGGATGAGGGAGTTTCTGATTAGGTTCAGATGATGGCCCGTACCCCTGTTGACGTTGTTAGGTTGTTTCATTATCTCCAATCATTATTGCACTTTTCTGGGAAAGTATCCTTTGGTCTTCGCTATAACATTAGCGGAAAAAACATACTAACCAATATCGTCCGTAAAACTTCGGAACTTCATTCGATCCCTGATTCACGCCCTATGGCCCATGAAAATCGTCCGTTCCGCCTCCGAAACATATTCCAATCGCATTATCGCGCCATCCGGCCGGTTCCGATGCAACGAATTATGTGCGGTGCATGCACGTCGGGCATGCATATTCAGCGTGGTGTCGTGATAGAGACGTTGCCCGGCCCATAAAACACATTCAGACCGTTGCGGTTCTCCTCGTTTTTTCGCCCCGTCGCCGGAGGTCCGAGGAAGACACGGGACATTACCGCGATGGCGGGCGCAGATCGGGGGTAGCAAGGCTGCGGCGGGGGTGGTAAGTTATTGCATAATAACAAGCCAGCCCAGGGCCGTTCTTGTCGCTCATTTTTCGCCGGTGTACGCGTATTACCATACTGTTTAATATAGAATAGGGCCGGGTTGGACGTGTGGCTGGAAATCGTGACGGTGGGCTAAGTCCCTGTCGGTCGATCGCTGATGCGCGTTCACCGTCACTGCGAAGGAAGTGCAAAGTCGACAGCAAT